TGGGTTCGATTTTCAGCATTCCAACACATAAAGAAACTAAAGAGAAGGCCTAGTTCACAGTGGTGCCAATAAACATATTAAAAAAAAAAATCTACTCCTTATAATGGTAGCTCTTAAAATCCCAACAGAATCACTTGGGAATTTTGGTGAACTAAAACTAGAGTATCTTAGGAGCAAGGCAGAAGAAAGGGGAGCAAGGCAAAGGAATGCATAATTATCCTTTGCTGTCCTAGGAGACTGGTTCTGGGATGCCCATAGATACCAAGATCTGTGGACACTCAAGTCCCTTTTATAAAATGGCATCGTATTTGCAAATAACCTATGCACATCCTGCTGTATTCCTTAAATCATCTCTAGTGTACTTGGAAAACCTATTACAATGTAAATGCTATGCAGATAGTTATTATACTGTATTTTTTTGGTACTGGGGATTGAATCCAGGGCCCTTTAAACACTGAACAGCATCTCCAGCCCTATTTTATATTTTATTTAGAGATAGGGTCTTGCTAAGTTGCTTAGGGCCTYGCTAAGTTGCTAAGGTTGTCTCTGAACTCTTGATCCACCTGCCTCAGCCTCCCAAACTGCTCGGACTACAAGTATGTGCCACTGTGCCCGGCTGTTATGCTGTATTTTTTTTTAAAGTTATACATGGACACAATATCTTTATTTTGTTTATTTATTTTTATGTGGTRCTGAGGTTCGAACCCAGTGCCTCACATATGCTAGGTAAGTGCTCTGCCATTGAGCCACAACCCCAGGGCTATACTGTATTCTTTAGGGAAAAACAAACGTATATACATGCTGAGTACAGATATAACCACCATAAGCCTAACTACACTGATGCATGAACAATTTAAGAGACAGACAATGCTTCCAAGGGGCACTGGAAAGAAATTACAGATCTGTGAAATGCAAGGGGCTACGGCAGGGTCTGCCTGCACATCACTTCATTCACAGGGATTCAGCACAGTGCTTGGTATATGGCAAATTCAAGTTTTACTTTTTGGAACTTTCTGAAATTTTATTTTTCTGATTTTTTTTTTTAACTAGGAATTGAACTCAGGGGCACTTGACCACTGAGCTACATCCCCAACCCTATTTTTTTTTTTTCCTCAAAATTTTTTGATCTATGGTTGGCTGAATCCGTGGAGGCAGAATCCATGGTTATGGAGGGTTGATCATTTTATTTCACTGTATTGGGTTGGGGATTGAACACAGTGACTTGTTCACCACTGGGTACATCACAACCCCTCCCCCTCTTTTTAAAAATTTTTTTCCTTTTTTTTTTTTTTGAAGTTGTAGATGGACAGCATGCCTTTATTTATTTTTAAGTGGTGCTTAGGATCGAACCCAGTGCCTCGCACGTTCAAGGMAAGCGCTCTGCCACTGAGTTACAGCCCCACCTCCCCAAACACTTTTTGAACTTTATTTTGAGATAGGATCTTTCTCAGTTGTCCAAGTGGATCTTCAGCTTGCAACACTCCTGCCTCACCTGACCAAGCAGCTGGGATTACAGGCATGTGCCACTTTGCCTGATTATACATTTTAAACAAGTCCTTCTGGAGATTATTATAGGCATTAAAGTTTGGAAATTAGAGAGCTGTTTCAAAGAACCACTTATATGCTTACATATGTTTCTGACAAGATATGAACAAAATAAAGTTTGAATAACACTTCCAATGTCTCTCCTTGCCAACCACTCCTCTCTCTTCTTCCTGGAGCATCCTCCCAAAACAACATTCCCAGGAAGCCCTTACTGTGTGCAAAATCTTCCCTACTACAGGAAATAAAAACTCATAGTTGTAAGCTGGTTATTGAAGAATCTTTATGGTCAGCTAGCAATCAACATAAGTTTTTAAATTTTGGTTCTGGGGATTGAACCAAGGACTTTGAGCATGTGAAGCACGTACTCTATACCTGCAGCTCCAATCAATATAACTCTTCAACTGAACGGCACAACTCTGGAGCCAAAAAGCTGAGTTAAAAATGCCAGCTCAAAGAGCCCACAGGATGGGAGAAATCTTTGCTAGCTACTCTTCTGATAGGGTATTAACATCTAGAATATATAAAGAGCTCACCCCCCAATCAAATAATCTAATTAATAAATGTGGAAATGAATTAAACAGACACTTCTTAAAGAAAAGAGATACAAATGGCTAACAAATACATGAAAAAAAATGTTCAACATCATTTGCAATTAGGAAAGTGCAAATCAAAACTACGCTGAGGGCTGGGGTTGTAGTTCAGTGGTAGAGTGTTCACCTCACATGTGGAGGGCACTGGGTTCCATCCTTAGCACCACATAAAAAATAAAATAAAGGCATTGTGTACATCTACAACTGAAAAAATATTTAAAAAAACTACACTGAGATTTTATCTGAACCAGTCAGAATGGCAGTCATCAAGAATACAAATAATAAAAAATGCTGGAGAGGATGTGGACAAAAAGGAACACTTTTACACTGTTGGTAGACTGTAAATTAGTACAATTGCTATGGAAATCAGTATGGAGGCTCCTTAAAAGACTAGGCCTGAAACCACCACATGACCCAGTTACGCCACTTCTCTTTATTGACCCCAAAGAATTAAAGTCATCTTACTACTGTGATACATGCACACCCATGTTTATAGCAGCACAATTTACAATAGCCAAACTATGGAACCAACCCAGGTTGTCCATCAATGGATGAATAGAATAAAGAAAATGTGGAATATAAGCTGGCATAGTGCCRCAGGCTTGTAATCCTAGCAACTTAGAAGGCTGAGGTAGGAGGATTACAAATTCAAAGCCAGTCTCAGCAACTTRGTGAGACTCTGTCTCTTAAAACAAACAAACAAACAAAACTGGGGATGTGGCTCAGTGGTTAAGCAATCCTGGGTTCAATGCCTAGTACCACCCCCAATTCCTGCCCCAAAATGTAGTATATACACACAGTGGAGTTTTATTCAGCCATTTAAAAAAAATGAAATGGCATTTACAGGAAAATGGATGGAAATAGAGACCATCACATTATAGGAACCAAGTCAAAGCAGAAGATTAAGGGTCCTATGTTTTCTCTCATATGCAGAAGCTAGAGAGGAAAAAGGAAAACAAAGGTGGGGGTAGATYTCCTAAAAATCAAAGAGAGATTAGTAAAAGAACGGGACCTAGGGGTGGAAGATGGGGAGGGAGAAGGAAATGCTGGAAAGTGATATTGGCCAAATTATATTGCTATTATGTGCCTGTACGAATATGTAACAAGTCCCATGAATATGTACAACTATAATGCACCAATAAAAATTGTGGGAAAAAAGTCCTGGCTTAACCAGTTATTAGATGTATGATGTATGACTGGAAGCAAATCACTTCACCTCTTCTATCTCATATGCCTCATCTATAAAATGGGGATATTAATGGTACCTGCATGAAGGGGCTGTGAAAAGGATTAAAATGATCAATATATGCACAGCACTCAGGATAGTGCCTGGCATATAGAAGTGTCATGTGTTAGTTATTACTATTACTGTAATTATCCTTTACTACTTCCCTGTTCACACATTGCACTGTGGGCCCACCTATTAATTCCYGCTTCTTGGACATTTTTCTGTACTTTCATGTTCCTCCCAGGATCTGTAACACAGCTCCACCCCATGTCTGGGGTCAAAGGTATCCAATAACAAAACCTAAATGAAGTCTTTAATGACTAACTCCTCCAATATCCAAATTAATCTTTCCTGCCTCTGAGCATTAGTGAAAATTTGTGTGTGTGTGTGTGTGTGTGAGAGAGAGAGAGAGAGAGAGAGAGAGAGAGAGAGAGAGAGTGTCTTCTCTCATCTCTTGGACTATAATTTCCCTAGAAGGGTGGTAAAATCTAAACAGTGTGCTTTCAGGAGTGAGATCTATCTGGATTCCAAATCTGGTCACCATTTATTCTCCCCGAGCCTCATCTCCCATTTATCAGTTCAGGATAACATCAATTTTGAAAATCGTTGGTAAGATTAGATGTCAAGTTGTACCCAAGATATTTAAAAGGGCACAAGCATCCCGGATAAGTAGTTTTTCTAAACAAGTTTACTAAAATGCCAAGAGAAACAAAGCACAGCAGTCAGGACACGTGCAGGCTGGCTATTTACAAAACAGCAGTGACAAGAAGAAAAATCTCATTGGCACGTGCGGTCTGCACATGCTCTGGATTGTGCCTGAGGATGAGAGCAAATCTTCTTCGTATTGGCCTTACAGGGAGTGACGTTAGGGCCACCCAAAGGACCGACCAATGGGCTTTGGCGGGCAGGACCCAACGGCGACAGTTGAGGGCATGATAGCTTTTGGCTCTCACTTTCTCTTTTCCACCAAAGTTGGGGGCTGTTTCTTAACCCGCCAAAGATCCCCAATTAGACAACAACAGGACTCATTTGTGCCTTCTTTCTCCCCTCTACCTTTTAAAAAAAWTTTTTTTAGAGGAAACTGCCTTTTGCACAAGTTCAGATTTCTGAGTCGTGAGGCTGGGGAATCAGGAGCCAGCCCAGGTCCATTATGACTCTGGGGTTTCATTTTCTCCCTTCTGGCACTTAGGTTACTCAATTTTAAAAGAGGGAAACACCTCTCCGTGTCGGGGCAGTAAAGTGCCTGGCAACCAGACCCGTCTAGCGGGCGGTCGCAGGCTGTGGCCCGCGCTGTTGGCGGCCAGGCGTGCAGAGGAGTGGAGGCGACGCCCYGGTCCTCTAGCCCGCAGAGCCACTGGACTGACAGGCTCTGACCCCGTCCTCGAGGGGACGCAGGCGAGGCCCAGCGACCCGCGTGCCCACGGACGAGATGAGAAAGTCGGCCAAGCGGGGGCCTGCAGCCCGGTAGCCAGGACACAGGCTGCCGGGGGGCCCGGCCTGGGTGAGGAAAGGCCCGCGTGCCTCTTCCCACCCACCAGGGCTGCTCGGCCGACGAGGTCCCGGTCCATCCTCCACACCACGCCCCGAAGACCAGCACCCGGCCGCCCCTCGCTGTTTCCCGCGCTGCGGCAGCTTACCATTCTATTCGCCCGGGGACCGACCCGGCCATCGCCCCCCCGCACGGGGACCCCCGCGGAAACGGAGGAGGAGCTGGTCCGCTTCACTTCCGGAAGTAACCGAGGACCGACTGCGGAGGGTACCCCTGGCCCGCGACCATAGAGGAGAGGCCGCACTCATTTCCCAGCCCCCTCAACCCCGCGACCTCCCCGCTGCCTAGAGCGGCCACTCCCGGGTGAGGACGTGGACGCATGCGTACTCCTGCCAACCCCGCCCCTTCCTCTTCACTGACCGACCTCGGGCCAGGGCAGAGTTACAACCCGAGTGGGAGGGAGGGTGTGTGCCTGTGACTAACTTTTCCTTTAGGGCTGCTGTTTCTGTGTAGTGAGGAAATAGCCTTGCTCAGAAATTAGAGTAGTATTAGAGGACCGCTATATACTGTTCCCAATAATTTTTGCCTTCACATTTTATGCAGAAAAACCACAGGACGTATTTGACTCATTATGTATGTATGTATGTATGTATTTTTTTTGGTACTGGGGATCCAACGGAGGGGCGCTTTACCACTGAGCCCTTTTCATTTCTTAATTTTTAGATTCTCACTAAGTTGCTAAGGCTGGCCTGGAACTTTCCATCCTCCCGTTCTCAGCCTCCTGAGCTGCCCGAGCTATAGACGCGCACCACCACGTCTGGCAATTTTGAGAATATTTGGAATTAAAATGGCCTGGGTTGGGGATGTGTCTCAGAACTCATGCTGATTATCTGTTTTAAAACACGTAGAGATTATTAAATTGCTGTTTTGAGATGACATCCCTCCCCCATATGAAATTGGTAAAGAGTTAAAGGATCAGTAATGTTATGTGCTAGTGCAAGGAAGGTGTGAACTGAGTTTCTGGAGGATAATCTGGGAATAGGTATGCAGTAAACGATTTATACAGTACTTCACTATTAACAGCCTTTATCACTAATTATCCTCAATAGAGTTTCCCCGGGAAATTGAGGTTTAGGAATGGGTGAATGCTTTCTAGACCTAATAAAGATGCCGTGATAACGTTTGAAAACAGGTATAAACAACTTCATAGTAGGTTTTATGAAACCTAGTTTCATTCATTCATTCACTCAAACCATGTTTATTGGATGCAATGACTAGGCTTTGGGGGATCAACAGCAACCTCAAACCAAAAAACAGGGTAAGCTCACTTCTCTGTGGCTAGTATAACAAATAAAGGTCTTTGCTTTCTCTGAGACCTCTGTGTAAACCATACTACCCAGTCGCKGTTATTCTCTATTGCAGTACCCTGCGTTTTCTTCATAGCGATTATCTTAGGTTTAACAAATGACAAGTTTTTTTAAAAATTTAATTTAGTATTTTGTTTTARTTGTAGTTGGACACAATACCTTTATTTATTTATTTTTTAATTTTTACGTGGTGCTGAGAATCGAACCCAGGCGAGTGCTCTACGGTTGAGCCACAACCTTAGCCCCACAAATGACAAGTTTGATTTCTGCTTTACCTTTTCCTTCGAACCCCAAGTTTAATGGGGACAAGGACCATACTTTCCTGTTCATCATCATATTCCCCATGCTCTTCAGGATGGCATATAATAGGAACCCAATAAATATATGTATATATATTATCATTATTATTATGATTATTTTGGTACCCGAGATTGAACTCAGGGACACTCYGACCACTGATCCACATCCCCAACCYTATTTTGTATTTTATTTAGAGATAGAGTCTCACTGAGTTGCTCAGCACCTTCCTTTACTACGGCTGGATTTGGACTTGCGATTTGAATTTGCGATCTTCCTGCCTTAGCCTCCCGAGCCGCAGGGACTGCAGACGTGCTCCACTGTGCCTGGCCGGTAAATATTGGTTGATCAACTAGAATTTAAGACCGGACTCTCGCAAAGCCCAGGCCTCCACGGAGGAGGCCACGCCCCCCACTCTTTCCCCAGAGGACCTCCCTGGCCACGCCCCCGACGTGACGCAGACGCGGACGCAAGCGCAGCAGGCGCGCGCTGTTTCCGGAAGTCGCCGCCACGGTGTGTTCTGTTGCTGCTGCCGCTGCCTCGGCTACCGCCGCCGTCTCTGCGGAACTCTGCGAGTAGAACGGCTGAGCCGGGAGGGGCCAGGGTTCCGGCCACTCTACAGAATGGAGATAATCAGGAGCAGTGCGTGTCTGCCGTGCACTACCCGCGTGCCCACGCTCACCCTCACCCAGCCTGCTAGGCCCTGACTGCGGCCAGCCTGTTTGGCTGGGCTCGGGGCTGAGTCAGTCAACCCCTCAGGCTCTGCCCCCGTTAAGCCTGTGCGCTTCTTGGGGCCTTATCCCTGTGCGGAACATGCACTCCTGTGTSCCTTGCCTTGCTCTGCTCGGCCACCCCCTGGGGCCCTGTCTTTCTCCGCCTCCTGCACCCTTCGAGACTTTTCTCCCTCAGGCCCAACTACCCCTCGGGGAGTTGACCTCGCGTGGCCCATGCACCCCTGGGGCACTAGATGATCTCCTGTCCTAGCGCACCTCTGGGACTTGTCCCCATCCAGCTAGCAGCCTCGTACATATCAGGGCAGTTTTTCCTTTTCCACTTAGGGGTCTGTGGGCAGGAAGCCAGGCCATCGGGTTCTGAGCCTTTTCTCGGTTTCTCCGCAGATTTTAAGAGTAATCTTCAGAAAGTGTACCAGGCCATAGAGGAGGCGGACTTCTTTGCCATCGATGGGGAGTTTTCAGGTATCCCTCCCTTGAAAACTTGGGGCTCAGGGTCCTTCAGCCGTTCCCACCAGCCTGGGGCTCCCTAATTTCTGATGCCTGCTTGCTAGCTGCGCCTGGCTCTTGGTAGCTTTGGGCAGGTTGCAGAAGTCTCAGTGTTGCACCTTGAACGTTTCAAAAGCATTGAACAGTTGTAGTGGTTTTGTGATGGTAGACTGTGAGGATTGCAGACTGAACAGAGATTATGGTGTGGGTGCTACTTAAAACACTTTGGTGCATACATAGTAGAAAGCTTGAAGATTAGGGTCAGGCTTTTTGTGTGTGGTAAATGTACACAAAATAAAATTTACCATTTTAACTTTTTAAAGTGTTTTACTTTTAAGTGACATTGAGTACATTCTCATTTCTCTGCAGCCATCACCATTCACCTCTGGAATATTTTCATCTTCCCAAACTWACACTCTGTACACATTGAAATCTCCTTTTCTCATTTTCCCTGCCATTTGACAACCACTATTTACTTCTATAAATCTGACTAGTTTAGACACAGTCATACAATATTTGTCCTTTAGTGACTGTCCAGGGCCAGGCTTTTGCAGATAAAAGGATATTCCTTTATATATTCGTAGAAGTGTTCATTGCCTATATATAAAGGTGTGTTTGTGTAATACTTCTCCAACACTTTAAAAAAAATTTTTTTAGTTGTAGATGGACAGAATGCCTTTATTTGTTTATTTTTATGTGGTGCTAAGGCTTGAACCCAATGCCTCACTAGGCAAGCGATTTGCCACTGAGCTATAGCCCCACCTCTTTACCAACACTTTTTATAGTTGCCATGTTTTTTGGGGTGGCAGATACTTATTTTTAGGTTGTTTATGTCCAAAGAGTTTTATCCTTTTGGTATAAATACCCATTTTTGCTGCTTAGTTTACATGTTTAAAAACCTATAGCTCTTTCTAAAGGAATCCATGAAGAGGTAACCATGATCCTTAGTGTGAATTTTTTAGTTGGAGTCAATATGCTCAAAGTTTCCACCAGAAATAACTTTATCTTGACCCTGAAAATGCCTTTGTTGTGTAGATGTTACTCCAAACTCTGTTGACCAGTACTGGTCCTCTGAAATCTTCTAGTCCTGAATGCTTAAGATTTGTTGTTGATGTCTGATATGTGTTAATCCTTTACAAAGCAGCAAAACTTATTCAAACATAGAGTGTTTTTTTTTATGCTTACTGTATTTTGAAATCCATTTTAGAACTGCCTTTTCACAAATTGAAACTTATATCTCAATTTTTTTTTTAATAATATTGGATATTGAACCCAGGGCTTTCTGCATGCTCTGCAAGTGCTCCAGCACTGAGCTGCATCCCTAGTCTGAAACATTTATGTTTCTTAAGTTTATTGTTACAGAATTTGGCTTGGTGGACAGTCAAATAAATGCTATCTTTCTTTCTATTGGTGCTAAGAATCAAACCCAGGCCTTGTGCATGCTAAATAAGAGGTCTTATCACTGAGTTACACCAGTAGCCCCAAATTAAAGTTAATTTTGAAAAAGTAAGGTATAGAGCACTTCCAATTAATCTTGGTTCATAAGAATATGAAAGTACAGGGTTGGGGCCTTTTGTGAGGCATTGGGTTCAATCCTTAGCACTGCATAAAAATAAATAAAATAAATGCATACTGTCCACAACTACAGAAAAAAAAATATGAAATTACAGAGGCATTGAATTGTTGACTTTTTATTTTGGGCACTGGCAATCTAATCCAGGGTGCTAGGGTGCTTTATCACTAAGCAATATCCCCAATTTTCTTTTATTTATTTATTTTCTGTTTCATTTCATTTTTTAAAATTTATTTATGGTTGTCAATGAACATTTTATTTATCTATATGCGGTGCTGAGAATCGAACTTAGCCTCACACATGCTAAGCAAGTACTCCAACAATGAGCTAAAACCCCAGCCACTCTCTTTTATTTTTTATTTTGAGACGGGGACTTGCTAAGTTGCTGAGGGTGTCACTAACTAACTAAGTTTGAGGCTGAACTCAAACTTGTGATCCTCCTCCCTTTGCCTTTCTAGTTGCTGGGATTACAGGTATGTACCCCTKCCCCTGACTTCACTAATTTAAAAAAAAAAGTTTTAGTTGTAGATGGATGCAATACCTTTATTTTATTTATGTGTCTTTATGTGGTGCTGAGGATCAAACCCACTGCCTCACACATGCTAGGCGAGTGCTCTACCACTGAGCCACAACCCCAGCCCCTTCACTGATACTTTTATACTAGCATTTATTAAAATAAAAACTTATTTCTTAAAATCTAGGAATCAGCGATGGACCTTCAGTCACCGCATTAACAAATGGTTTTGATACTCCAGAAGAGAGGTATCAGAAGCTTAAAAAGGCAAGTAGATAGGCTGGAGAATCTATCTCTTTCCTGTGTGGATCTTCCATCTGTTGAATTATAAAGGAATATAGTCATTAAATCTGTATATCAAAGTTTTCTAAATGTAGCACTTTTTCTCAGCTCCAGTCACATATTGATATTTTAAGGATGTTTAAAGCAACAGCAAAAATAATTGTTTGCTGGAAAACATTTTGGGGAAGGATTAGTATTTGCCAATTTGATTTATAGGAATTATGATGTGGTTATTCTAATAATCTGGAAATAGGCCTAATGTTACTCTGGATGACGGATGATAAGTGCTTAATTGGGGAAAAATTAAGTGTATATAAACTTAAAATGCTTCTGATACATAGTTTGTATAATCTGTTCTAATTGGAAGTATTTTGCCAAAGTCTAATTGTTTGATTCAGAAAGCCAGGCTTTTGAGAGTATTATTGCTCATGTCAAATATGTAGCCGTAATGTGACAGATGTTTTATTTCCCTTTTCCAGCATTCCATGGACTTTTTGCTGTTTCAGTTTGGCCTTTGCACTTTTAAGTATGACTACACAGACTCAAAGTAGGTTGTTTTAACAAGTAGTGGGAATTCTTTTGTGTGGCATAAGGTCACCCCCTAAGCCTCGTTTTGTTTTTTTTCCCCCCCAGGTATGTGACGAAGTCATTTAACTTCTATGTTTTCCCAAAACCCTTCAGTAGATCCTCACCAGATGTAAAATTTGTTTGTCAGGTTAGTAGCTTAAGAGTTTTTCCTTTTATGATTTGCTTATATGGCATTGTGGAAAAGTGGAATCAGAATTCTATTTAAAATTTGATTCTGTTAACTTTGGTCTTTCACAGAATATTTCCCCTCTCTGATCCTCAGTTTTAGGTTTGTAAATTAACAGCACCATTATTTCCCCTCTGTGCTTCAGAATGAATTAAGGGGCTGGGGATGTGGCTCAAGTGGTAGCGCGCTCGCCTGGCATGCGTGCAGCCCGGGTTCGATCCTCAGCACCACATACAAACAAAGATGTTGTGTCCGCCGAGAACTAAAAAATAATAAATATTAAAAAATTCTCTCTCTCTCTCT